AGCCAACAAATTATACAATTGCTTCTTTTTGTATATATGTATAGCGAAATAGACAGCTTTTAATTGTATATGTATAGCGAATCATACATATTTATATTTGCTATGGAGCGCAATTATGTAAACTTTGCTATAGCATACAAATATGATTTTTTTGTTTGCTATATGTGAAAGTTACTCATTTTTGTTTGAATCCAAGTAATAATTCGGCTTATCCATAAATAAAAGCCCAATATGTTAATCTTTTGATCCAAGAGATATCACAATATTATTTAAGTAGAGTCCAAAATACTTTTCGGTTATATATTTTAAAAAATAGCCACAACAAGTTTTATCATAACGGATACCCGTGTCATAATCTTATCCACCAATTCGACATTTATTAAATATTGGATCGACGAATAAAATTGTGCCACTTGTCCCTATTTAGTCTTCTGTACAGTGAAGGTCATATATGCTCTAGTTTTTTGACGGGAGGGGCACCAATATCCCAAAAGTATGATGGAGGGTATCTGCATACCAATTACGATAGTTCAGAAGTAAATTTATCTTTTTTCCCATTTTCAAATTAACAACGATATATTTAAGATTATAAATTTTCAAAAATCTTTTCTTTTTCAAATTTCATACCAAATCAAATTACGTTATATAGTACTAAATAAAAATGTATTTTATATATTCTGATAATTTATAAAAAGTTTATGTCAGGATATATAAAAGTTAAAACTCTTTTGTTTGGCAGTAATCTAATTCAAATTTTCTCTTTTTCTGAAACTGGTCACAGACTATTGAAATGCGGGACGATTTCTTTTTAACATTGTTTGAATTTGAATTCTTGTATGTGTCTAACCTTATTTTTTAAATGACATTTTAAATAGAATTTTCATCCTATTGTTAATGATTTAAACTTAAATTTTTTAATTAAGAATAAAAAAATCTTAAACTATTCCGCAAGAAAGAAAAAGATAAAATCGTATGACTTGAATTTTCAGGAGAGAAACATGCAACTCGGAGCTTACATTCATATCACAATTTTAAAATAAATAAATATGTATTTTAATTTTTTTATATCAAACAAAATAATATCACGTAAATGGAAGGATAATTTACATAAATTTCACTGATTTAGAAGCTTATTACTTTGATACACTCTAATTTGCAGTATTATGTATCTCATCAGATTTTGGTGTAACCAGATATGTTCATATACGTTTGAATACAGGTATCTCGGGATACATGAGTTAAAATTATATGTCATTTATTCTAGATACATTGTATTCAGGTGAATTCACATGTCTGGAGTACATATAACAAGTTTCACTCACCTCCCTTACGTCTCTCCCATTTCGTTCGTCACTTTTCTGTGTATCTGATATCCCAAATGAATACATCAAATACATATAAATACATGTATACATAACAAATTTTGCTCGCCATCATTTCATTTCATGTGCTTGTCTCTTTCCCAATTTTAATTTATCTGATATCAAATATAAATGTATCTATATCCCTAAATTTTCTTGATTAACATTATCACTACCATCAAATTTATGTCAAAAAAATGGAGTTTTGTTGATAATATCGCCAGAAAATACATTCAAAAGATCCAAGTAAGCCAGCTAGCTTTATAACAAAAATCAGTTTCAGTTTCCACCCAAAAAAAAAAAAAAACGTGTCAGTCCGCAAACACATGCAACCTCACATTCTTACACGTAATCACCATGCAACAATACTCCAATCTCTTTCTCCACTATATTTACTCTCCTTACTTAATTAACTCTCCATTCATCTCTTTAAACAACAACAAAAAAAGTAATCAGAAAAAATTCTCCAAAAATTCTGTGATTTTTTTGAAAAAGAGAAAAATGTCTCAGATTCAACCAGCTAGGCATGAGCAGAACCAGCAGCTGTCACGTCAAGTGGCTAAAACCACTACGGCTGTGACGGTGGGTGGGTCATTGATGGTGCTATCCGGGTTGACCCTTGCTGTAACTGTAATTGGACTTGTTGTAGCAACGCCTTTGTTGGTTATTTTTAGCCCGGTTCTTGTACCCGCTGCTATTACCATTTTCATGATAATGGGTGGGTTGTTGGCTGCTACTGCATTTGGTGCTACTGCTACTTTTGTTTTCTACTGGATGTACAGGTACGTTACCTTCGCAGATGCAACATTTCAAATGTTACTTCTGTGCCAAGTTTGATTAAGCATGGAGTTTTTTTTTTAATTTAAAAAAATGTTACTCTCTATGTTTCTATATTTGTTGGAGTTTGATTAAGCATGAAGTTAAAAAAAACGTTATACACTATGTTTCTACTTGTTTGGGGTTTGATTAAGCATGGAGTTTAATTTTTTTTTAAAAACTTTACTCTCTATATTTCAATTTGTTTATATTTATTTATTTTATAATTTGTTTAAAAAGGTGTCTTTTTTTTTTAATTCGACAATTTTTTTATTTCAACTTTCAACCTGACATGTTTATAATTATATATAAAATTAAAGAACATTTTGGTACACACTGCATATATTTAATTTAATATTTTGTGGTTTAAAAGTTCTATTTACTTTTAAAACTCCGGAGGGAGTACTTTAATTTCTATGTTTTGATTTGATACGGGATTTAAGATTTGATTTTTCGGAGCTTTGTAATTTTAAGCGGTGCCATAACATTTCTATAGCTCTAACTAAAGCTTGTCTAAAAGGGCAAAATGGTGAAATTATTCAAAAAAAAATTATGTGATACATTGATCAGACAGTGGCACATAAATTATAGGAAAATTACACTGACCATTTTGAATCTTTGATCCTCCCTATGAAGTTGGAGGTCAAAAGTTCAAGATGACCCACGTTCGAATGAATGTACCTTCAAATTTAAATTCGGAATCGGTGTTATGGTTGCAGGTAGTGGTATGAATGTACCTTCAAATTTAAATTCGGAATCGGTGTGTTATGGTTGCAGGTACACCACTGGGAAGCATCCAATTGGGGCGGATAAGCTAGATTATGCAAGAGATAGACTAGCCCATGCGGCCCATGATATTAAGGAGAAAGCAGAGCAATTGGGACATCAAGCCCAGCAACAGGTTAAGACTACTACTTGAAAGAGTCTTTAACATCATCAAAGTTTGTTCAAGGAAGAAAATGCTGCTGCTTGTTGCATGCAACTTGTACCTTTTTCAATTCTACTTTGTCTTTTTCTCTTAGTTCTTCTGTGTTGGGAGTGTAAGTCATGTGATGTTGGTTTGTTGGATTTTGTGGCAGAGTTTATGAATGGTGTTGTAACAGCATTTGTTGTATTTGGCGTAATGGGTCTATGTATGTTCATAATTGTTTACTTCTCTTTCGTCCTTTTGTTGCATACATGCTACACCTTTCAAGTTTAAGATATGAACTTGAAATGAAAAATGAATATCAAGCTTGAGACATCAACAAACGCATAACCATTTCAAAATCAAATATGCTTAGGATAGAGAGCATATTGATTAGTAATTCTTATAACGAAAGTATAAAAATTAGAAGTTTAGTGCAGAGTTTTAACTTGAATACCTTAACTTATCTTAGAAGCGATCATTTCTTCTGTCATTCCTTCGCCTTCGCTGTATCTTTTTCCATCTCATCATAAGTTTATGCTCCAACTTTAAAATGATTTTTGCAAGCCATTTCGGGTTTCCAGTTGAGATTATGAAATATATTATGGATAATCCAATACATAGTCCACTTCCGTAGCCCATAAGAGCAGCTTTCCAAAAATCATCCAGAAATTCGGAATTGCTTTCTTCATCTGGAGAGGATGTTGTGTAATTTGTGTCTATTACACCATCATTACCACAGCCTTTCGAAATTGGTAATCCACGTAATCCGTCATTGCCTGCAAATGAACTGTTCTCAAAAGTGTGAACTTGAGGTCCTTGAGGGATGCATCCATGGAGATGATTGTGGGAGAGATTTAAGAACGCAAGAGACGTAAGAGAAACCAGTTGTTGTGGTATCTCTCCCGAAAGTTGATTTCCCGATAGGTCCAATGATTCAACTGAAGATAAATCTCCGAGTGATGGAGGTATTTGACCTTGCAATCCATTATGAGATAAGTTTAACACGTGAAGTGCAATGAAATCTCCCATGACACTTGGAATTGGTCCTCTGAATTTATTACTTGAAAGATCGATAGCTGTGTAAATCGTCAAAATTCTAACAAGTTCAAGCATCATTCCCTTGGATACAATTGTTACAGAATCTCGGTAGTACTCGTTTCCAAGGTATACCGGTCCCTTCATTGTTCGATTAATTGTCCTCATGGCTTTCAAATGTTGAAACAAACTTGTTGGCAAGGTTTCTGTTAAGGCATTGTAAGCGACATCTAAGATTCGAAGCTCAGGAAACAAGTTCCTCATCCTTGATGTTCCGATGGGACCATGCAATCTGTTTGATCTCAAACTTAAAACTTGCAGCTTTGGTAGAGTCCCCAACCACATGGGGAATGTGTCGTTGAGGTGATTATTTCCTAGATCAAGAACTTGCAACTCCTTGCAATTGGCTAAAGATCGTGGGAGTTTCCCCTGTAGCTTATTGTCATGCAAGTTGAGGCTCCTAACTTGTAAACTTCCAATGCCAAAAGTTGTTGGAATTGTCCCAGACAGATTGTTCTGATGCATATCAAAAACCTCGAGGCTACTACTGACATTACCCAAGCACTGTGGTATCTCTCCCATCAAGTTGTTTTTTGCCAAATCTAGGACTTTTAGTGATCTCAAATTGCAAACAGATGAAGGAATTTCCTCACTAAGATTATTGTTTGACATGAACAAGTATTGTGTGGAATTTGGTAGAATAGGAAGTGACCCTTGAAGAAAATTGGACCGCAAATCAATAATATATAGAGAGGGATAAGAAATTGAGTTTATATTTGTTGAGTTCATATCTGTCAACATATTGTGGGACAAGTTAAGACGGTCCAAGTTAAGCCAAATAGGCCATGCCCAATCTGGAATTCTTCCCTGAATCTTATTATTCGAAAGATTCAAGTCCCAAAGCTTCTTTACTGGTCTTAGAAACTCCAATTCTTTTACTTCACATGCGGCCAATCGCAAACTAAAAAGAGATTCTGGCAAAGTAAAATTAACCCTGTTCTCATTGGTTAATGAGAAACGATTATATGAAAGATCAAGACCCTGAAGATTTTTGATGTTTGAAAATAAGCTGACATCCACATTGCCACTAAAATTATTTGATGAAAGATCAAGCCACGTTAGGTTCACAAGGTTTTGAATTGACTTGGGAAGACGACCTTGCAGCTGATTATTGTTTAAATCAATAGATCTTAGTGAATTGGACTTGAAATCCTCAAGATGACCAGAAAAATGGTTATTACTCAAGTCTAATTCAATTAGTGATGGAAGGGAGAACATACCGGATGGTATTGTACCATTCAGGGAGTTACCTCTAAGGTATAAGGACTCTATGCGAGTGAGATTTGACAGAGAAAAGATTTCAGAAGGAATTTGACCTGAGAAATGCGAGTCAGAAAGATGAAGATGGGTCAACCTTGAAAACCTTCCAAATGCAGGTGAAATGTGTGAAGAAGAGAAGTCATTCATAGAAAGAATGAGCTTTTTCAGATGAGAGAGTTGGAATAAGCTACTATTGGAATCAATCACTCCAACAAGTTGACTGCAACTGACGTCAAGCTCAATAACATGGACACTCATCTCATCGCATGTTACTCCATCCCATAAGCAGCAATCACTGCTCGTATTCCATGAACTCAATTTTGAAAAATTGTAATGACAAATATCATATGAGGGATCAATAGTAAGCGATTTCTTGAAATTTAAAAGGGAAATGCTTTGATCTTTAGGGCACAAAGATGAAGAAAAAGCAATTTGACAGAGAAAAACAATTAAGAGCAGAGCTGAGAGTTGCATGTAGCCCATGTTTGAATTAAAAAAAGAGTTGGTACTGAAATTTTGAGGAATCTATGCAAATATATAGAGGGGAAGAAATCAAGTTATTTAGTCAACGTTGCTGCAAAGTCTATGAGTTTCATAAAGTATAATATATACAAATAAGCAATTTGACTGAATAAGACAATTAACAGCACAGCTGAGAGTTGCATGTACCCCAATGTTTGAATTAAAAAAAGAAGTTGGTACTGAAAATATGAAGAATTTATAAAAAATATTTAGAGGAAAGAATCAAGTTCTTAGTCAAAGTTGATGAAAAGTCTGTGTGTTTGATAAAGTAATATATTACAAAAAAAAAGAAAAACAATGTGAAAGGAAAGACAATTAAGAGCACAGCTGTAGACCATGTTTGAATAGAAGAGTTCAAAAGTCAAGGGTAGGTTTGGATAATCAATTATACTATTGCAAGTTGTTCACTAATACACATATAGTCAGTACTTGCTTAATATTCACTTTTCATGTAAAAGATTTACGTGTTATACATCTTCAAAAGCCCAACTAAGTGAAATTTTTGTAGACTCCCAAACATGCAGGATTCTAACTGATCTTACAGGTTAAAGAATTCATAATGCGGTGGATGAAGCTCAGTTTGAGGTCTGAAATTCAGGAATTTCGACCAATTTTCCCCAGTATCCAAGCTAACTTTCGGCAGCCTTAAAAGGAAAAAAAAAACAAGGAAGGTTACCTGTAATAGGCTACTTGGAGTAAATGCACCATGTGAAAGTGGTCAGGACCTCCTTCCATCAAGTTCATAGAGTTGTTCTGCAATGTGACAAGTTTATGCAACTTCTTGTCTTCTGTAATGATAGCTTAAGGTTCAAATCTAGGTTGTTAAGCCATAAGGTTAATCGAGTTGATAAGGTTTATATGCAGACCATAAAGAGAGAGAGAGAGAGAGTGTTACCATCAACACATGTGAAGTAGATGAAATGGGTGTCTATATTTTCAGAAGCCTGCAAAAAGAATGCACATTGTTGCATACTATTATGCACTCGATTGTTAAAATAACCATCACTTTCACTATACAAAAGCTGATATAGAGGAGGTTCATGCCGTTAAAGCTTCATAAGAATCACTCTATTTGGATCCATACACTCAAAGTGGTAGAAAAACAGGGTGAAGTTCGAGCAGAAGGATGGATTTGCTATCTTTATAACCAAAGTCTAAGCAGAATAACCAACTATGTTCATGTGAGCAAACAACAAATATTACCGACTTTGAACTGAGATGGCCACAAATTTGCCAATGATTTTGTACAACTTATAAAAGATAATACTTGAACGCCACATTTTCTTCAAGCCTACAACCTTTGTGCCGAGGTTTCTCAGTTAAATACACATACTTTATAGAATGGGAGTGTATCAAAAACAATGCTGAATATTGTAAGATGCAATCACTAGAGACAAAAAAAAAGAACGGTTGTTTTCTTTATCTACTGCCCAAATCAATTCAACAGTTATGATTCTTAAGGAGCTACATTGCAATGAATGTACTTTTTCTGCTGTTCCTTTTGCACCAAAAGAGCGCCTATGTAACAGATAGCAGTAGCACCAGCTATATAAAAGATAAAAGAACTATGAACTTAAAGATGCAGCAAATGCAACCATACAAAAGGTTTTCAGTCGTCATCAAAATTCTTTAAATCAGAAAGAGCATCTATTTTGCACCGTACAGCTACAGCAAGCTACCAGTCTACCACTCTCCACTTGCGTGAATCCTTCTTCTCACCAAAGAAGGTTAGTAGTCTTCCTCAACATTATTCAATAACACCAAAAGATAAAATACTTCTGTCACAAAGCTTAGCAGGTTTAACCCTATTACCCTACCATCATCCACTTTCCTGAATTATTTCTCAACTCAAGACACTAGCTCTTCGGAGCTAGTATTTAGTACCCTCCTCTGACTTCTTCATTTACTCTTCCTAGACCATATTTTCTCTTCAGGATGACAAGTGTATTATTGGATAACTGAAGCAGGTAATGTCTCATACCTGGCGATAGTATTTGTTCCCTTCATGTTCGAAGTGTACCAAAGGAAAAACCAAACATCACAATCGAAGTGAGGTACGAGGTATACTTGAAGACGCTAACCCTACAATAAGGGGCTGTTATTTGTCCTCTTAATCAGGTTATCATTCTTATCACCATGTTGATAATATCCTATGAGCAAGAGCAACTACTTGGTTATTTTTATCTGATGCAAGTCAGCCCTAAATTGCACTTCAAGATTGTTTCCAGTCAGTTGTGCAAAGAAGACATAGTCAGATTTTATGTTTTTCTTGAATCTAGTCAATTGACCTGAATTCTCAAAGTATATTCATGTTCTTTTTTTCTCCTTTTTCCAAAATCTAAATCTTAGATCAGAACTTTAGAGAAGGTCTCTGTAGACTGCTAAAACAATATACATCACTATAGCTATGAAACAATATATTCCCATAAACGTAGCATAACATATCTTTAATCATCCAAAAAGACAGAAAAGCTATGAAACAATGAAAGAGAAACCTGTGCCACACAGAATATGAACTTAACAAAGTGATGTAGAAGGATACTATTTTTTTCAATCAGGTTACAGTCCATTTCAAAGAGCACAAATGAAGTGCATCTACCCATGTCTTGTAAATTTGACACAGGCACATTAAGGCAAAAGAAAGGTGTGATTAACCCAGTCAATCACAGTTAGTGCCACATCATAAAGATCTCTTCCTTTTTTTTTTGAAAATGGTAATTGTTTCCATTTCTGTAGAACAATACATAGGTTATACTGAAAACCATATTTACATAAGGAACTCTAATAATATTGACCTATCCCTATAATGAGTCTAAGACATCAAGACAGTATCATTAGAGTAAATCTGATTACACCAAAAACAGAGGGTCAAAATACAATTTAGTTTGACTTGTTGCATACTACTCTCCCTATTCTCAAAAACTCTAAGGTTCCTCTCTTTCCATATTGTCCATCAAATAGTGGCAGGGACAATTCTCCAGTCACTTCTGTTTTTTGCAAGGACAATTCTCCTACTGAAAATCTTATGATAAAGCCTCCTTGCCCAGGTGTAGACAGCTTGAACGGTTTCACTTGATGCAAAGAAAAGCAACACATAGAGAAGGAAAAATCCAAGATGGATGATTAAATTTGTTAACATAGAAGAGAATACAAGAGTAATACACAAGAAATATCAATTCCAAATATTTGATATAATAACTTTTTTATAGAATATTAACAACTAAATTGCAATTGAGGCGCCGTTAATCGAATAACAACAACAAGAGCTCTAATAGGAGGGCCTCCCATGAGTTGGGGTAAGGTTGTCAACATATGAAGACCTTGAGGAAGTTTGTGCAAATCAACTTTTAGTTCAAAAGCTAGAACACAAAAGTGATGCTTCACACGAACAAAGTGACCAAGTTCTATGAGGTTGGTTTTGCAAATAAATCTAGACTCCTTAGCCGGCATACAGACATATAGGTCGTGGACATAAGTTGAAACAACAGGGCATGACAAGAATTGACCAGAATACTGCAATGATCTTATACCAGAGCCCCCATCAACAGAAATTGTCAAAATGCGAGAAAATTTACGTATTAAATAATCCATAGCTTGATAAGGGAAGCAAAGTAATAAAAAGATCAACAAAACTAAAACACAATACTTCCCAAGGAAGTTCACGAGTTTCAATATTACAAGACATGTGATAATGGGCGATTTGACAGCAAAAGCAAAAATAAAATAAAAATCCAATGTAGAAGATTATTTCTATAACCACAGGATATGACTCTGATTAACTGATGTTTCAAAAGTGTACAAGAAATAGAAAAGAAGTGTTGTCATATGTTTAAGATGGTACAACACATATCTGTGTCCCTAGATTTTCAAACTCCAATCTTTCGTCTTTAATTCGGCAACGGTGCGTACTTAAAAGGAACTTCTCAAGAATGACATTTAACATAAACACGTCCTCATTGTTGGTAATATATTTATAACTGCACTTGAAGAATTTGGTTTTCTTGCAAGAACACTAACAGATTTCTATATAAGTCTTCAACCACCTTCTAGAATTGTATACTATCCTCAGTTGTCTGTTTACCATAACAAAATCTTTTGAACTACATACTTATGAAGTAATTTCTCAATTGTGGTAATAATGCAACTAAGTTTTGAATGTCTCAGAAGAATTAGTGTGCAGGCCCTTAAATCAACTAGAAACAAAGTCAAATGTTAATCACACTTTATGCTGGTTCAATTTGCACCATAGATTCATTTGTAAGAAATTTGTTCACCCCCTCTTCTTTCCTCTTTTTTTGTGTGAGTGTGTGTGTGTGTGGGGGGGGGGGGGGGGACAACTGTC